CTGGGACTTGACCCATGCAGTTGGTCATGTGGGATCCAGCTGCCTTAACCAGCACACCATTAGCTGCCCCACTAGGTTTGAATCTTAAAGTAGTACTTAAGACAAAACAAAACAAAAAACTGTCAATTATCTTTGTAAGCTACAAATTTAGAAACACAAATAAAAGTGCTTCTTAGACTCCATTAAGTGGGGTGGTAAACCCTTAATAAACCACTAGCTATTATATTAAGCATCTGTTTGGTGTTTTACAGATCTAATCCGCATTCAGAAACACCCATCCTAGGGACTGGTCTCATTATCCCTGGTTAATGAGAGGAAAACCTCTCAGGGAGGTTCAATGACTGAGTGGAGGCTGCCCCATTGGAGGCAGCGCTGGGGTGGCCCCTGTTCAGTTTAGTCCTGAACGAGAGTGGGGTCTGACACCTGCACCCCTCTGGTGTTCTCACCTGCAGCTGTTCGCGGTGGGCGGCTTTGACGGCCGGCAACGCCTGCGCAGTGTGGAGCGCTACGACCCCTTCTCCAACACCTGGACGGCCGCGGCACCCCTCCTGGAGGCGGTGAGCTCAGCGGCCATAGCGCCCTGTGCGGGCAGGCTCTATGTGATCGGGGGTGCCAGGCAGGACGGAGTCAACACAGACAAGGTGGGCCCCGGCCGGCTGGCCTCCAGAAGCAGTTTGGGAGGCTGCAGGGTATCAACAGCCTCTACTGAATGCCAGAAGCCAACTGGGCGGTTCTGTGTCCTTGCCCATTTTCTCACTTAGTCCCCCAACAGCCGAAAAGGGTCACCCCACATTTCAGGCAAGGAAATGCTTTCAGAGAAATGACTCCCAAGTCACATGAGCACACCTTGACTTGAAAGCGTAGCTGGTGTCACAGGAGTTTCATAGTTTTTATTATTCTTTTTTCCTCTTTTTGTAAATTTTTTTTTTGAGAGGTTTTTGCTATAGGGCACATGCGCTCACCAGAAAGACAGAGAGAGACAGAGAGATAGAAAGCAAGAAATCATCCCCCAGGGGGGATGGCCACACCTCAATCTTTTCTCCTCCATTCTCCTCTCGAGATCTTGGGCATGCATGCACACATGCCCGGCGTGAGTTTAAGCCGCTAGATCCGGGACTGGAACCACGGGCGGCTACATGGGAGTTCAGCAACATAGCCATTACACTAACTGCTGATCCAAGGAGTTTCATAGTTTTTAAACATTATGGCTGGGGGGGGATTAGTTGAAATGTTTTTCTTCCATTCAAAATATACACTCCCTGTTGAAATTTAGAAAACACAGAGAAGTAGAAAAAAATTAAATCGCCTGTAATCTTCCCCACCTAAAGATAACTAGGAATATTTTGGTGTGCTACCTTCCAGGCTTCCAATGAATTGACTTTGGCTTCTGTTGTAATGCTTTTTGTTCTGTTAGTGAAATAAAGGCATTCTGCTTTTTATTCTTCTAAGTGTGAGCACACGCCACATGCAGGACCCCTTCACAGCCGTTACTTCAGTGTCTGCACCGGCCCACTGGGTGGAGCAACACAGTCTTCTGACCCAGTTTCCTATTGTTGGACATTAAGGCTTTTGTGTGTGTGTGTGTGTGTGTGTGTGTGTGAATGAAAATTAATCTTCATCGTGGCGGCTCCCTTCCTCCCCTAATGGCCCCACAGTCTTGTGTTCCTGGGACCTAACTCAACTTATTCCTTGACTCCCATTCCTCCAGCAAACCTTCTTGCAGCTGGGTGGGCATCAGCAGTACAGGTCCCTATTTAGGGCATCCCATGCAGGACTGACTTGTAGGCTGTTCGGTTGGGGGGGGGGGGGGGCTTCAAGAAAACAGTCGAGAAAAGCAGGGAATTAAGGTGAGCGGGCAGCTAGATACAGGTATGCACCCTCAGATACCGCCAAAGGCATCATAAACCGTCCATTGGCCTAGGCAGCCTGTGGAGAGCGGCAGGAATTCCACCACAGCTGGCATCTGGCCATGGCCTCTGAGCACAAGGAGCAGAGGCCTGATGATGTAAGCAGCCAAGAATCCATCTCTGTGGTTCCTGCTCTGAGGACCCCCCTCTCTAGCACAAATGCAAAGGAAACTCCATCTCCTGGGACATATGCCTTTCCCAGCTCAAGAAGATGTGCCCATATTGGGACCAGCAGGTGGCGTAATGGTTATGTCCCTGGACTCCCTCATAGATGACCGCAGTTCGAGTCCCAGGCAGCTTAAACTCAGGCCAGGTGTGTGTGTGTGCGTGCTCAAGATCCTGAGAGGAGACCGGAGGAGAAGGGATTGTGGCATGGTCATACCCCCTGGGGGATGATTTCTCGCTCTCTGTCTCTCTGTCTCTTTCTGGTAAGCGCACGCACCCTATAGCAAAAACCTCTTAAAAAAAAAAAAAAGTGCCCATATCAATAGTCTTACATGAGGCTACTGTGTTTTCCATCAAAGGAGACTATGTGATGTGGGAGGGCAGTGTGAACACCAGGGAAGACTTTAAGGCTGGGGTGACATTTGAGCAGGACCTCAAAAGATGAGAGAGCTTTTGACACAGGGAGTCCAGGACAGGGGACAGAGCATAGAACTAGACTGAACCCTTGAGGGTAAGACTGTGGTCTCCTCCACCATCCCCAATGCTGGGTCAGGCTGGTTACATTGGCAAATGTGCCAGATGTCCTGGGGAGTGAGGTGGCAGGGTGTGGTCAGCGGGGCAGTTGGGGTGAGGCTTCACTATGGCTGCTCCTTCCCCCCTCAGGTGCAGTGCTTTGACCCCCAGGAAGACCAGTGGAGCCTGCAGTCGCCAGCACCCTTCTCACAGCGGTGTCTCGAGGCTGTCTCCATCGAGGACACCATCTATGTGGTGGGGGGCCTCATGAGCAAAATCTTCACCTACCACCCTGGCACCAATGTCTGGGGGGAGGCTGCTGTCCTGCCCAGCCCCGTGGTAAGTGGAGGCTCCTGGACGGGGCCCCAGCATGGTTCTATTCAGAACAGAATTAATTCACATATAAGGCTCAGCACCTCCGAGGGAATGAGGCTTGCGTGCGAAGTGAGCCCACGCTAAGTGGTTTCCCGTAGTTCTCTGCTTTCGCCCTCACAGTGATAGTCAACCCTACATTTCACAGATGAGGAGACGGGCCTTAGGGTGAGGGCCTGGCCCAAGGCTATCATTAGGCTTTGTTAAGGCAGAGACTAGAACCTCAGTCCTAAGGGCTGTAGCATTGAGCAGTAGGGGGTCAGTCTAACCGACCAAGTGGTTTTTCTTGCCCTGAAGGCCGACAAGCCTACTGTGGGGTGGGAAGTGGGGAAAGGACTTGTTTCATTACCCTAATCCAGCGATAATAGAGGAAGCCCAGGTCCTGGAACCTGTGGCTCCAAAAGTTCCTTGCTGCCCCACTTCTGGTAAAAATAAACCTCAGTGGGTCTGTGCTCCACGTCCAGATGCTTTGCCTGAAGTGATCCCCACATCTGTCCCTTTGTCCCTGTCCCCTGACTCTCCAGAGACTAAGCAGGATATGACTGGATTGGTGGTCACTGCCAGTTCTGACCTCCGGTGACTATGAGCCCAAGACTTCCGGCCTCTCTGAGACCCTAGGTGGTGAGGGTGGAGGTGGAGGTGGCCATTACTGTTGTCCTGGTGTGCTCGCCACATCCCAGGCACTATGCACGCTACTTCATGTGCCTCAGCCATTACCGCTGAAGGCAGCCCTGTGAACAAAGTCTTATTATTTTCACTCTGCAGGAGAGGAAACTGAAGCTAGAGAGGCTAAGCGGCTTTCCAAGGCATTCGCTTTGAAAGGATCAAGCTAGAGCTTGAACTCAGGTCCCTCCAATTTCCACTTTGTCATCCAGACTGCCTGGTCACAGTCTGTGGGTCAAGGTGCTATTATCTGGCCTAGGCAGTTAGGGACAGAGGAAGCCCCAGCTGGACCCCAGAGTTGACTGTCTTTCTTTCTGCTTGTCCACCCAGGAGAGCTGCGGAGTGACTGTATGTGATGGAAAGGTCTACGTCCTGGGCGGGCGGGATGACAGCGGGGAAAGCACCGACAGGGTTCTCACATTTGATCCCAGCTGTGGGCACGTGGAAGTCCAGCCAGCCCTGCAGCGCTGCACCAGCTCCCACGGCTGCGTCACCATTGTCCAGAGCCTAGGCAGCTGACTCGGACTTGGAGGGTCTGAACCAGGAGACAAAGACTGGAGAGAGCTCACCCTTCACTTGTTGTCAGCATCTTTATTTTATAAAGTAATCAACACATGATAACTGGACATATTTACAGAGTACATGCCCCTTCTTGTAAAAATAAACCTCACTGGGTCTGTGTTCCAGATCGAGCTGCCTTGCCTGACTGAAGTGATTCCCTCATCTGTCCCTGCTGTAATCCTTTACAATGTGACGTCCTACCGCTTAGTCTGACTCCTATCACGAAACACTTTAGACTGAGTCATTATGAACACAGGATCCCACATCCACAGTTCTGAATGCCGGGAAGTCCAAGATTCAGGCTCCAGTTGCTCTAGTGAGGGCTCTCTGCTAGATGGTGTTTTCTTGTGTTCTCGCTTGGCAGAAAGGAGCAAGGCAGTTTCCCCCAACCTCTCAGAAGGGCACTAGCCCCACTTACGAGGACTGCACCCTCACTTCCTATGTGACTTAATCACCTCCACGAAGATCACGCCTATTAGTAATAGTCACCCTGGATACTGGGTTCTGACGTGACTTTGGAGGGACAGCACCATTCAGACCATTACACGTACCTTTTTACTTTATTAGCACAGTGTGGGTTTTGGTTTTGTTTTGTTTTTAAATTTGCTCTAGGGCACCTGTGTTTATTGGTGCAAGAGAGAGAGAGAGAGAGAGAGAGAATCTCCCTGGGAGGATGACCACATCGCAGTTCCTTCTCCATTCTTGAGATTTGGGGTACAAATGCCTATGCATCCAGTATGTTTTTCAAGCCACTGGGTCTGGGACTCAAACTGCTCAGTAGACAACATAGGATCCAGCAGCCTTAATCACACCTCCAGCTGGCGCAATGTAGGCATTAAAAAAATATAAAAAACTATGAACTATTTCATGTGTGAAAGAACTCTCTGGATAGGGAAGGGTGAACTCAGAGGAGGAGAGAAGGGGAACAAAGGCCGGATCCTGTGAGGCTGAGGCTGAGGTCCAGGCGCTGCCTAGGCTCTGTGCCTGTAGCCCTGAGGCCTGCAGGAGCTGGCCAGGTCCCATCTGGGGGCTCCTCCTCATTTGCACACAGATTGCCTTTTGAAGAGAAGCTATCATCTGCTCCTCACATGGAGCACGGGCCAGCCTCCCACCCCTGCCATCTTCCAAGGCCCCGGGGTTTGGCTCGTCAGTAGGGTCACTCCAGCAGGGGCTGGCCCAACACATACAGCACAAAGACTGGGTCCCAGCTGAGCTCCGACCTGCCGATTATCCCAGATTAGGGAGTCCATGACCATCTGGACACAGCTGATAATGGCAGTGGGGGGAGGGGAGTGAGGTGGAGGCCCCACACTGAAAGATTACCAACGGAACCTAATAATAAAATAGGATGATTATAATATAAGTTATGCAAATAGGGTCGCTCCCTCTCTGTCTCTTAAAATGTCTTACTGTGCTGAGCTCACCTATTTTCAGCCCCAGGCTAACTACAGATAACTGAAACTGTGAAGCCTGAAACCAGGGATCAGGAGGCATTCTCTACATTCCAGTTACGCTGCTGACAGTAAACAGCATAATTTCACGCAATAGTGTTAAAACTAAAATGAACATTTTTGAATACTTGAATAATTGTGAAAATGTGCAACATTGTTTTTCATTATTCCTTAATTCTTAGTTCTGTAAGTTATTTGTAAAATGTCTTAAAATATAAAAATGGGAGCGTCCACTAGAGCCAAGTGGTGACTAGGGATGAGTATTTTTCCAGGTATGTGAAGATAAAACCAGGAAGCAAGAGATCCATATCCTCTGTCCCTCTCCCCACCCCCACACGGGAAAGTGGTTCCACTGCTGTCTAGTCCTCCCTTCCCATCCCTCAGAAAAGCAAAAACTGCCTCAGTTAAAGGCCAGGGGAGCTCTGCTGCTCTTGCTAGGCAATTTAGAATGCAAAGGGTCTAGCTGCTCCATCTCACCACACAAAGGGCTGTCCAGGCAGCCAGTGGCCTGCCAATGAGGACAGGATGAATCCCGCACAGTGGTCCTCCCTCTTGGTGGACAAAGGCCCAGCTGCACCTGGCTAGGCTGAGCTGCTAACATAGGCCTAAGCAGCAGAGGTCCAGTGTCACTTACATTTCAGAGTTACGGGGGCTTCCTCTTCTTACTTGTAAAAGACAAGGGCTTGGGGGCCAGCAGGTGGCATGGTAGTTAAGGTGCTAGACTCCCACATGGTCAGCTGTGGCTTGAGTCCTGGACTTGATGGCTTGCTTTCTCATTTACCTTTTCTCTTCTCTCTCTCTGGTCAAATTAAAAAATAATAGCAGATAACATTAAATAAGTCTTTTTAAAAAAAGAATTGTTTTAGTTAACTTTATTTTAATTTGACCAAAGAAGGAGAGTGAAAGAGAAAGAGCAAGGGGGGGGGGGGTGAGAAAGCAAGCCGCCAAGCCTGGGACTGGAATCACAGTTGGCCATGTGGGAGGTTAGCACCCTTAACCATCTGCCAGCCCCAAAATTAAATAATTCTTGGGACCAGCAGTTAGCATAATGGCTATGTCGCTGGACTCCAATGTAGTCGACCATGGTTCGCGTCCCAGACCCGGTGGCTTAAAACTCACACCAGGCGCGTGTGTGTGCATGCCCAAGATCCCGAGAGGAGAATGGAGGAGAAGGGATTGTGGCGTGGCCATCCCCCCTGGGGGATGATTTCTCGCTTTCTGTCTCTCTGTCTCTCTCTGTCAGTCTAGCGAGCACACATGCCCTATAGCAAAAACCACTCCAAAATAAAAAAAAGAGAACTTGGGATCAGCTAAGTTGTTCCCAATCTAGAGTCTCATATTACTTGTTCTCCAGTTACAAGTGGGAGTTTTGAGATATCCTAAAGGTTTTTCAAAGCCTAAGAGAAGCTGCATGTTGCTCTGAGATGTAATGCAAGGGTTAAACTGGCTGGAAGATGAGGCGAGCGTGGGAGCTACCCATCGCAGGGATGTTGGGAAGAGTCACTAAGATGCTGTGGGTTCAGGCTATGTGACCGTGATCTTCTCACAGGGTTGTGTCGCTGATGTAATAAATGTAGCTTTGATCGATAACACAGAGAATGGTTGGGTACGTATCAACATTGATGTCCCCAAGGAAGAAAATACTAAGCAAAACGATCTTTGTGGTTGAAAAGGACTCTTGGTGGCACCTTGCATTCATGTGGGCAGGCCCTATGTGGGAACACAAAAGCTGCATTTATACACAGCAACTGCGGAGCTCAGAGACCATCACTAGAGGGAAGGTGAGACTCGTCCCCCGTGGAATGTGGCCATTAATGGCTGCCTGGCTCTGCCTGCCTCCCAGGAGGGGTGAAGGGGGTGGCCTCTGTGGTAAGGCCCTCACAATCAGGATGAGGGGGAAGCCGTCCTCATGAAGTTGTTCATGATATCCAAGAGGATTTGCAGCTAACTCTTACTGCACACTAGCTACAGGTCAGACTACAGAATTCTACATGTGGATGAACAGAGACATCCTGGACGTGCCCATGCTCACATTGCTCTGAAGCGGAGGACCCATGTTGAATACGGACAGTCTGGCTTGAAGACTGACAGTCCTTGACAGTCATGCTATGATGCCTCCAAACAGAGGTAATGTATTAGACAGCAAGCACTACAGAACACGTCCTGCTACTTAGATCTCTAACCCCTGTGAGATGACTATGGGAGTATGAGAAAGGTCCAGTCACTCTCTCATTGAATCAGGGCTGGTGCCGGGTCTAAACCCAAGTCTCTGCAAAGCTCAGCTTTTCCCTGTGACCTCCTGACCCTCTGTGGTAAAACACTTGGCAGAGAAAGATGACCCGCACTCACCCCCACCACAGCTCTGACATCCTCATGGCCGTAATTTCCCAGCTAGGAGTGGGAAAGTTTAGCTGACCGGACGTAGTGAGCTGGGGTCTGTAGCTGCATTTCTTGACCCTACACATAGGGATGAGGGCATAGTTGCGGGCAGCAGTCTACAGTTGATCGCACTGCTGTGTTTTCCGGCAGCCACTGCCACAGGGTGGAGGTCTGTAAGCTCAGCTTTTATCTGGGGCAGACTTCCACAAATCCCTCTACCCTCTGTTCTCCCACCCGACATGCCTTTCCTTACCTGGTTCTCCATACTGGCTGTTCTTTCAGTCCCTGATCCTCACTTGGCCTCTGCGTCTACGCTCCAAGATCCGTACTACCAGGTCTTCTCCGTGCCCAATGGGCAATCTGATCAGTCAAGCAGCTCTCAGCTCCTGTTTGAGATCCCTGTCACCAGCTGCCAAGGACTCCTAATGACCAGAACCTAACTCTTCAGAGCCTTTTGATGAGTTCCAGGAAAGGCTTCAGCACTTGTCTTCGTGCTGCCAACAGCGATCATGCCAACAGTGGGTTCCAAGAACTATTTGCAGCACAGTTTGGACTGCCCAGCTTCAACACCTTGCCTACTGGGGGAAAAGGGACACTGAGTCTGGGCATGAGGCTGGGCACCCTGCCTCTGTAGAAGCCAATAGGGCCAGCTATCTTTCTTCCCATGCCCAGCAGTTAGGGCACAGAAACCAGCTTAGCTAATCCGATGCTCACACCTGGGACTTTGAACCCAAGAGTGACACAAAGGAAAAGAACAGCTGAAAAATCACTCACCAGGAGGCTGGTAGTGGGTTACATGGGGACCAGACAGCTTGTCAGCCCTAGCCTCGGGTATGTTCCCTGATGCCGGCTTCCCGAGAGTCCATTTCAGAGCTGGGTTTCCCAGGGTCCCATGGATTTAGGGTTACTGGAGAGCCCACCAATATAGCTCCATGCTGCCTATTTTAGCCGGTTTCTTCTTTGCTTGCGGATACAATACCTAATGTGCCGTAGACAAGCTCCAACTCAAGGCTTCTAGCTGCCAATATTGAATCTTTCCTAAAATCCTATTGTGAGGTTACCCGAGAGCATACACTTAAAAACATGACTTCTGAACCAACTGTGCATTTAAGTAGCCAGTAATACAGTACCTGATTTAAAGTAATAGTGCCTGAACGAGATACAGTACCTGATTTAAAGTAATAGTGCCTGAATGAGATGATGCACACTCATGTGTGTGCACAGACTGTAACTCTATGAGCATACACAAAAA